TTTATGTGTGCCGTTGTTTGGCCTTTTAAAGTAAACGGCCCACACTTACTGATGCCACAGAGCATGACATGTCAAAGACCAAGGCTGGTGTAGGGGTCCTTGATACACATTCTTTTACGATCCAGTTTCTGCAGGGAGCACATCCAAGATTTTCTGTTTAAGAAATGAGCCATGACAGCTTATGTCTTTATAAGTAAACATTTTGGGGCTATTGTCTTCTACTGATCTTACTTTGCCTCTCTGCCTCCACCTAAAACTTCTGGATGTGGTAAAGGACAGCTGAACAGGGGTGCTTTTGAAGTGCATGAATTATGTCTGACTTTATTTAATTAACCAAGGCTTCAGTGTGCCTCGCTATTTTCTCACTATAATATGCAGCAACATCTGCTTCCTGCACGTTGTGACATGGCACAGAGCAACTGCACTGGACCTGAGATGGGTTTTACTGTACTCAGGAAAAAAAAAAATGGCAAATGGAGAAACCTAGACAAACAAGTCACAGAAAACAACTGACCTAAAAACTAAAGTGTCTATGTCTGCAAACAGAATTTGAAAAAACCCCGACAGTGTTTATTGATTAATATTGCACAAACATCAACCAATTGCCTCAGGGAACACTCATGACTTCGAGGGAGACATATTATCTAATTACTGCAAGTTTAACAAACTAAAACTGAACATGCTGCTGAAGTAAATAAACACAAATAGATTTAAAATCAATGTATAAATAACTGAATATACCTTTTAAGGAACAGATAACTGAATATTCAGTGTAATGAAGTGGCTAGTAACTCTGCAAGCAACCTTGTCAGGGAAGAGACAACTTTTCCAGTTTAACGTCTTTTTTAAAAATCAGAGAAAAGTTGCTTTCTCATCCAAGTTATTCCATGTCTGTTGCTCCAGCTGTAGAGAGAAAGGAAGCCGCAAAAACTGAGCTCCTAATTACCATCATCCTCCCTCTGATGTGGATGTGGCTGGTACAACACTGCATGTCTACGTGGCTGGTACATAAGTTTTCATACAGACGCACACAAACCTAACAGATGGTCGTAATTATCGGCAGGCAAGCTACAGCCCTAATTTGAAAGTGAGCAAAAATAGGTTATGTCCTCTCCCACCCTTCATGGCCACCACACCCAACTGCTGGACAACCCAGAGGCCCCTCACCCCACACAACACGCTTCCCTGGGCACGGAAACACATCTTCCACCTAAACAAGACCAGCACGCGTCAAACCGTCACCACCTCAAAGGGGAACGTGCCTACCTGGCACTTCTGAGCTTAACTCGAAAGGAAAAAGAACCAAGCAAACGTGCTTTGAAACTCGTTTATTGCTCGCACTTGGGCAAACAAGGGTGGATCTGACGCCGAGAACCTCCATACTTCCCTGTACAACGTCCATACTGCAGTTGTTTCCAACCCGCCCCTCACCTCAGCAAACGCTGATCTGCAATCCCGCTCTGTTAACATTCCCTCGCCTGCCATGGGTAGCTAACCGCGGCCACAGGGACAAGGCGACCGCAGCTCATCCCAGTGCCAGCTCACACGCCATCATCTGTGTGTCTCGCAGCACAGTCCATGCGGTGCCGTTTACAGCGTCCTCTCCGAGGCTCAGCCAGTCTCCTCTGTAACGTGTGCTTAACTGAAATTGAACCAGCACCAACAGCTTCGGGAACAACCCGCCTTTGAAGAGCGACAAGAGCGGCCGCCGCAGCGCTTCCCCTCTCCACATCACATGCCCCGTGCTGGCCTTGGCCTTGCTTCAGAGGCAGCGAAATCCCTGTTCGCCTTCACAGAAGGCTCCATTTTCAAACACAGGTGCCTCCCGCTTTCAGCACTGGAGCTTATCTTTCCATACTTTGCCGTACACCAGCCTGGCAAGTGTTCAGAGACGGGCGTTAAATCTCGTACGCCCATGTCCAGATTCTGGACCTCCCTATCAAGTTGTTTGTGATGGAGTAAAATGGGGGGAAAAGTAGCAGTGGTAACCCCTGCAACATATAATCACTGCCATCCTAACTCTGCTTCTTTCCTGGACAATGAAAGCAATGAGAGCCCAGAAGCAAAGTTTTAGATAAAAGCACTATTAATCAAGAAACCTGAAAAAATACCAGACAGGAGCCTCCTTAAAGTAATTAAGAAAGGGCAAGTACATCCCATGCTTCTCACAGGACAAAAAGGGAAAGCACACCCTCTTTTCTTTTACAGAAATTCAGACAGAAAATATCACAAGCAGATGTCAATAGACTTGACACCGATACAAAACCGTGGCTGCACATAGACAGGAACAACTTCTGTCATTCACCTTCTCGCTAACAGCACAGATTCAGCTCCGAGCCTATACTCATTAAGTACAGAGTCAGGCATTGTTCGCACTATGAACACAGTCCGTATGCTACATCAGTATTCCTCCCTCCCCCCAAAAAATCCACCAAGGAATACAAGAAAAGCCTCAGTTGACCCTTTATAGCTGGAGTTGTTGGCAGCAGCAGAGGAAGTCACTGACATGTTTGACAAAACTTGGCATTCACAGCAAATATCTTCATAGTATTAAGAAGTAGTGAAGATTTTAGGAACATAGGTATGATTATGTGAGATGAAAGCATTATTAAATAAAAGAAGATTAAACTGGACTCAAAGATCTGAAGAGATTTACTTAAATGCTCATTGCTGAAGAAACAGCTCACGAGATAAAGACAAACACACAGGTTAACAGTGGAAGATTTGCAGAAACAATTGTCTCTCTGAGAAAGCAACTGTTTATATTGCTTTTTAAATGTTTCTTCTCTATTTTTGAAATAATATATACTTTACACAACGATTTAGTATATTGCACTTCATATAATTTGTGTGTGTGTGTGAAGAAGCAAGCCCCAAAACGTACATCCTAATTAAGTGCATTTCCCATTAAGGGTACAAAGGTGCTTCCCGATCTCATTGCCACTGAAGAAACTAACAAAAAGCAACCAGACATGGGAAGCACACAAATATGCTTGTAATGTATGCATATAACTCAAAAAATGCCAGCTTACACCTGTGCATATCTTCTCTCCCCAGCTCAGGTTGTCGACAAAGAGGTGCACAGAGCTTAAGTAAACAGGGACCTGTAAGCTAAAAGCCAGGGCACAGAAACTATGTGACGGTTTACGTTTGGGGATGGCAAGATGTCTTTCAGTAGGATGACCAGCCCCTAGGCTCAGAGTGGAGAGGGACACGTGCCTTCCTGATTTACTCCTAACGCGCAAGAAACAGACACAGCCAAGGTGCCGAAGCAGGTACCACAGACAGTATGTGCGCTACACTGGTGGAGCAACTACTTGCCAAGGGAGAGGACTTTTTGGAGGAAATGGAGAAAACAAATGTACAATCTGGAAAATTTCATCGCTTCTGGCATGAGCTCCAAGTGGCTTCCACTGTCCTCTACAAGAACTAGTCTGGTCCCAAACCAGAAGGACCAGGAACCTAGTTTCTTCACCTGCAAGTATGCCTTCAACAAAGGCAAACTTAATGCACCTTTCAGACCATTTATTTTTTTTTTTAAACATCAAACATTAAAATATTGTTGAACTGTTCAACACAGCTAAGAGATTTTTGGCTTGAAAAGGCACGTTTCATTCTGCAGTGACACCACCTCCTCCTCTAACATGTGCTCATATATCTATCAAGTTTTGATAAAATTATTCAAGCTGTTTAATGGGTTTTTCTTGGAGTTTCTGTTCCTGGAGCCCTGTCCTGGTAAAACAGAACAGGACTGGGGTACCAGTGAGGAAGGAGAAGAGAAGATGCTTTTTACATCAGGTCCTGGTTACATATATAGGATAACAGAGAGGCTTTCATATGCGTTTTAAAACACACCTTTTTTCAAAGCACCTTTTCAGGTGAGTTGGAGGCAAAAAGGTAGGCAGTAAAGTTAGCAAAACTGAAGGGACAATGAGTATTCATCAGCAACTGAAGAGCTGCCATCACTAACAGCACACAAACCTGTTTGTCTAGAATCGTACATTGCACTGAGCACCAAGTATCAAAATACCCTAAACTTGCCTTGACAAGCTAAGGAGTAAGCCAGGACATGTCTCTTCGGAACAAGGCTATTCTTTGCCTCCTCAAAACATCACCTCCTTTTACACACAGGCTTTTTAAAGGGGAGAAGGGCTGACATCCATGTCCCACATCCGAGCACGTGTAAGTGCTCAGAAAACAAATGTTTATTTTGACTCACATTGAGCATTGTATTCTAATCTAATAACACTGGTGGAAAACTAAACTCCTACCAAGTAGCTTTTTTTCCCTCTACATGTGCAAGATTATTAATTTAATTTAAGTTATCCATCTTTGTTTAACTGATTTTTATGAAAGGCGTAATGGTTCATTTGTTTTGAGAAAAAAAAACACAGGTAAAGACTTGTGCAAAGCGAACCACCTCAACATTTAGGATTCTCTGTACCAGCCCCTTTAAAGGTAATGTACAAAGGCACAGAATTTCCTTGTGCCCTTTTTTTTTTTTGCTTTTTATCATAAAGAAATTTCTAAATACAGGGAAAGTTTATTTTCCTGTTAAGATATGATCATGTTTAAAAATACAGAAGCCAAACTTAACAGATGATGCTTAGGATAAAGCCTGTGTATGGTCAAATGAAGGGTCTAGACAGGTGATGAAACCAAAAATTTATGTTCTGTGTTGAGTTGGGGCAGAGCATCTAAAAGAGAAGAGGAAAATGAGCCCTTTACCCAACACTGTCACTGGAAGTGTAAAAGCATATGGAACATGCCAGTTTTTTAAGGTTTCCAAGGGATTGCCTGGATGGCCCTAAGCTACCTCCTCCTTCCAACATCGTGGACGAGAATTCACTAGATGGGGCACGCTTCAGCTCTATGTGGCTACACAAAGAACTGGAGAACATTAGGAAGGGAGGTATCACAGACCAGCAAAACACACACAGCGCTTACACATTCAAAACCATTCCCTCTGGGTATTTTTCTTAATTTTAGAAGAAACTTACATAGATTTTATCTTGCTGATATCGCTGGAATAAGTTGTGCATAATGGAGCCTTCATGGAGATCTACAAGTGCTGCCATGTCTTCCACGCTCTCCGCGCTTGTTTGATGCATAGGTGTTACTTTTTGGTGTGTGATCGTGCTCTGTTTGTAAGTGAATACCTGAAAGAGGGGAAGGAAAAGAGAATATAATCAGAGAACACATTCAAAAACTGCTATCTGAGAACAGAGCTTTCATACCCCTTCATATTCCCTATCCAGTTTATCAGTGTGCAGACGTGTGAAATAGAATAGTCTGCCAGCCCTACCATCTTCTGAAGTTTCTCTGACAATAACTGAAGCTCAAATCCGTACACGGGGATCATTACGAAACTAGAACATACTGACAACGCACTGAGGACTATAAGGCCTTTTCCTTTTTAAGGACAAATGTCATCATCTTTCACAATGGGCTACTGTTGGACTTTATCAGGAGGAAAACAAACCAAACAATAATAGCTCCCAAAAAATCCCAAGCCAGCCAAACAAAAACCCACCCCTTACAGTAAGCCCCACTTATACTCAAATTACTCTGGAAGGAAATGTTTTACAGTGCAAAACAGCAAAAGAAAATTATTGCTCTAAGAGTCTGCAAGTGTTTATGTGTCTGATCTGAAATCCACTTAAATGTTTCCATTCAATTCTCCGGTCAGGACCACTGTTGGGTTAGGTCATTATTCCTAATGCAAGCAGCATGCTAAGTTCAGTGTGCTGCAGAGACTTGAAAATGAATAGGCGAACCGATTTCTAATCAGTGCACTTTTGAGATTAATTTCCGGAGCCTGATCCAAAGAGACAGTAAAAGCTCTAAAAAATCCACAGTTTAAACACTCAGTCAAAACACACTTCTATGTATCTTCTCTAAAACTATCCCAAATATGCTCAGAAGACGTACACACCCCCAATCTATTTAAATAAAATTTCATAAATACTAATGACATCACTAAAGACTATAAAATAATATATTTTGAATTCAGCTTACCGTTTTCTTTTAATTTACATCTCTGGCAACTCATTCTTACAGACATATGCCTGCATCCCATAGCCAAGGCTACTCAGGCAACACTCATCGCTGCTAATGTCACCATTTCAGAGTAAGAAAAGTCAAGTTTGGGGTTAATGTAAGTACTTTAATGGTGTGGAATATTAAAAAAAATACCACTTTTCAAAATCCTTTGACATAATATTTAGAAGGCCAACAGAAGCAGCGCAATAACCAGCAGCCCAAGGGCTGGCGAGCACAGGAGGATTGCCACTGCGGGCTAGGGATTGGGCAGCACTGCCTAATGGATGGGGCAGCACTCAGGACCTCATCTGCGTGGCAAGAGAAGACCCCTCAAAGGATTGCAGCATCAAAACACATGCATGCCCCTGGTAACAAAAGACTGAACCAAGATGGTTGTGTCATTGTAGGAGACCATTCAGGAAAAGTGTTGCGTGTGTCTTGCTGAGAAAAGCGAGAAAAAGAAGATGACGACAGAGGCTGAATGTAGACCGCACTCATCACCGAGGCTCTGCACTTGGGTATCCCACCAGCTGGCAGAGAAGAATTGCCTGATGGAATTTGTCCAACAAAATCATATTCTGGGTGTACTAAATGCTGGCACAGACCATCGCACCATTACACCTGTCACTCGCACCAGCACAGAGCGTACTGGGGGAAAGCTGGGGGAGACAGGAGATCCAGGGAACACATTTCTAACAGGTGCGGGAAGGCAGCACAGATGTCCACAGGACACATGAGCAAATCATCAGAAAGTTACTACAGATTCAGATCATCCAAAGCACAATCTCTAACTGCACAAAAAAGACAGACACTGAGAGATCTGAGCCGTGTTTTGCAGTAAACAGCCATCAAGATTTTGTACAGGGCAGAGAGATGCCAGCCAGGACGGAGAAATCAGCCACTTGCACATGGACCAGGGGCAAGTGGTCCAGGTGTCTAACAGACAGAACGAATGTGAACAGCATCAACTCTTAGCAAAACTTGGGGGCTGAAAAGAGTGTTAGCAGTCCCAAAACTAACCACACGAAGTGCAAGCCAGAATTAGAGGTAATTACATTTTAATAGTAATAAACTGCAGTCCCTTGTTGGAAGAACCATGACAAAGATGTCCCAAAGGTCATATTACAGAACAAATAATAGTGTAAGCTGGAAGACTGGAAATAAAAGGGATTAAAGGAGAGCAAATCCTAGAACAGTTCAGTAACTTAAGAGAGGCCATGTATCAGCAGGGAATTAAAACAGAGGAACAGACTCAATAACAGAATTAGGAAACCAAAAGGGGGTGGCACTTGTCCTGTGAGTGTGGCTCATGTGAACACACAAAGGAAACAACACATTTCTGGTAGGAAAAATTTTGTATTTGTGATTTCTGCTCTTTGATACGCGATGCACAGGTCAGTAGGGTAGGCCAACTAGGTATAGCACTCCACATGTCACTAAGCATGTTTATTAACAAAAAGAATTAATAAAAATGCACTTAGAAAAACGTGATGACTGCCCTATGAGCGGCGGGACTAAGAAGATGGTCTTTGCAAGATTCATCCTTCCCACTCAAACCCGCTGTTTTTTCTTCTTCAGGCTGGTTGTTCTCACACCTGCAGCTCTCCCATGCATCCAAACAACCTCCTTGTTTGGGTGAGGAAACAGCTCTGTGAGCTGACTCAGAGATGCCTGTGTGTCAACCAGCTAGAAAAACACACTGACCGGTCATGATGGCTGCCACCCGGAGCAGAAAGATGGAGGGTCTCTTCCCCAGTGCTTTTCCTTTACTTTTAATTTTTACCAGAGCCACGCATCCTTCAGATTTCCTAAACCACCATAAAACTTGGTCAAAAACATCTAACAAGATCAAAGTCAACAGGCAGGGCAGCGGGATCACATGTACAGGCCTCATTTCCTTAAAGTGGGCTTTTAGCAGTTCTGCTGCTCAAGCCCTGAAAGGCCTGCTTTGTTTTATTTCATCCTGACCCACGCCTTTATTAGCGTAAGGACATGAAAAAGCTACCTTGAACTTTGTCGTTACTAGTTAGAAGGTCGCGTTATGAAATATTACAGCAGATGAGACCCTCAGGAAATGGGAACCAAGAGCCATTCTGCGGGGTCAGCATGCGGAAGAGGAAGATGAACAAGTTGGCTCCTGAACTTCAAGAGGAACCTGTTGGCAGAGCACGGGAGCATCCATCCTCAAGATCTTGCAAACATTTCTGGAAGGTCAAGTAAAACATGCAGGAAACTGGGAATAAGATTTAAGAGAAGCCTAAATGAGAACTCAGCAAAAAGTCCTTTCCTCTCAAGATATAAATGGTCCAAGATAACAAACATGCTGAATACATGGAAAACTATAAATTAAACCCTAAAGAGACAGCACACAAAAATAAGAACTCTCAAAGTTATTATGGAAGTGAAAATTAGAGGTTGAGATAGGAAGGCACAATGCAAAGAACAACAACAAAAAGAACAAGCTCGAGAAATACGTCTTGTATAACATCAAATCCAGTTAAACAAGAATAAAGCTCATTTCACTGGAAAAGGAGAACAACACATTAAAACCACTCGACTGTCCACACCACACAGCTCACTAGAACTGTGATGGACACGCCAAAAAGGGACCCAAATGAGGAAGCAACCTGAAAAGCCGGGGCACCAATGCTACCAAGTTTGCCGGGAAACACAGCAAAAAGCGGTAGCAGGCACTCTGGGGTTCAAAAATAACGTAGGAGGGAACTATCGGACACCCAAATGTTAACAGCTTGCTGAAACGGAGAACCCACACCCGAAGGCTGGAGGAGCGCTGTTTAGCGTCAGTCCTGAAGCAGCAAGGAAATACAACTAAAACAAAGTAATGAAGTAATCACATGCTGCTGAGTCTGAGTCAGATTTCTTTCTCTAGTCAAAAAGAAAAGATTGCACAGACAGGTGAGTGTGGACAGGAATATCTGAATGAGCATCAAAAGTAGGGTGGCAGGCAGAAACTGTGAAAACAAAGCACACTGGTGTGGTTGTGACAGAGTTTCAAAACTTTCATGACATGACCATATTATCCTGACTCCTTTCTGTTTAGAAATCAACAGGTTTATTAGCCCAATTCTATTCTCTTCAGAACCGGGTAAAATTCATCAGCCTTACTGCGATGGGGACATACCGAGAGCAATGTCAAGGTCCACCTGATCAACCGCTGTGCTACCCACAACAGCACTTGCCAGATCCGCTTTAGGACACAATGTGAAGGCCTAGACATGGAAAGCGAGATCTATGCTTATACTTCCCAAAAATATTACCCAGATGAGAAAGAAGGACAAGAAGGGAAAATGAATTCATCATAAGAACATTAGCCTTGGACATGAGACCATGGAAAAAGACGTTACAGTGATGTCCTCGGCAGCACACCAGCACCTCCAAGACGTGGGCGTGACTGCCAGATGCCCACATCACCCTCTGAAACACTATCCAGACCCCTAAATGCTGCTGCAGGAAGAGCCTTCTCCTTGGAGAAGGTGCCAGTTGGATGCTCTCTAATACACTGTAGGAAGACAGAGAATTTAAAGGATCATCATGCACTGAGATTAAACGTGAGACTCTGCGGATGAGCACCACGTAAAGGGACTTCTGGCAGCTGACGTTTCGTGAAGGGGTTTGTTCTGAAAGAGTGAAGAGTCATAAATAATTAAATTAATGACATCGTATGGGACTCAATTTGGAAAGCCAAAACCCCCGACATCACATACCAAATAAAAGACATATAATGAAAATGATGGCTTTAGCAAATAAATATGTAATTTTCCCTATTGGTAAATAACATGCCTATTCATCAGTACTCCTGCATGACTAGTGCAACACTGCACTCCAAATTGTACAAGTGTTTGGCAGGCGAGTCTGTATCTTTACATTTGGTTCAGAAAAGCATTTTTTGCATGTCATGTAATTTGGAGTAACTAGTATTTTAAATCGACTAGTGAGCACGTAAAGGAAAGAACCCATCAACAAATCAAGAGTTTGAGGCATATGACTGCAATTAAATTAATTTCAATGATGCTTTTAAAAAAGCATGAAAACCACCAGCATGAAGACCTTAATATTCCCCACTTCTTTATGTTGAAAATGACATTTTTATCCTGCGCAATTAATCTGGCATGAGAAAAACTAAGAAGTCTTTCAAGCATTCCATTTAAGGGGGAATATCACAAAACAACCTCTAATTAATTTTCTGCACCGACAAATTACCCCTAAGCTCAAGATCTAATGGAAATTATATTTTAACAAAAGCTTTAATTTGCAACATAATTTATTAGCACCAGGAAAGAACATCAGAGCGGGCCCTCA